TGGAAGGGGCAAGGTGGAGTAAGGGAGAGAGGAAGCTCTTCCTCACACTCACTGGATCTGGGCTAGGACTGGGTCTGGGGGTTCCCGGAATGCAGCAGAAATTCCTACTTGGCGGACGGGGTGGAGGAGGTGCTGCGGAGTGGTGGGGGGCATCCCAAGGGGGTGGGAGAGGGTCTGGCCCACGCTGCGCCTGGGATGGGACTGATCCCGCCGGCACAGGGTAGCAGGAAGCTCTCCCACACACTCACCGGACCTGAGCTAAGACTGGGTCTTTTATCTTGAATTATATTCCTTATTTGTTATTGCTGGAGTGGAGAAATGTCATGGGTGATTTTTTTTTTAAGTTTACTTTTCATCAATAAAACTTGTAAATCTGTCTTAATTGGTCTGATATTTTTATTGGTCTTTTTTTGGCAGTTGTTTATATTATTTGTGATAATCCATTGTTTATTTTCTTCTGACCTTTACATCTTTTTTTATCTTTTTCTCTTCATATGGCTTGCACCACAATATTTAGGGCCATGAAGTGATTATGGTAATGGTGGGTATTTGCCATTAAATCCAATCTTCAATGGAATGGACCTACATTTATTCAGCTAACTATACTGTTTGTTGTAGATTTTCAGTACATAGCCACTATCAAGTTAAGACATGCAGCCTTTTATTTCTACTCTGGTAAAAACTTCTTTCCCAAATAGATGTTGAATTTTGTGAATGCTTTGTTAATCTGATAGATTCATTGACTCACAAAATCATACAGTTTCTGTCTTTCTGTCAAGTGATGTGATGAATTACATAAATAGATTTTCTACTGTTTTACCATCATGCTATTGCTAAAAGAAGGCCTCTTTGATTGATTATACCATATTTTAGGAAATTAATTGTTCAATTTGATGAGCTGATGCTTGAAAATTTTTTACATGTATTCATAGTTTAATGAATTTATTATATCTTCACTAACAGTTTCATTCTTTGGCTTTTTGAAGTCACAGGGTAGAGGCAATAGAGAGGAGAGGCAAGGAGATGAGTTGTGAGAGATCCTCACAAGCTAAGAACAGGACTTATCAAAAGGTGTCACATCTATAGAGCATGGGAGTAAGAACAAACATGTTGAAGATTAAATATAAAATGGGCAATTATGTAGTAATGAGATTGAGGACATTACAAAGGATGCTGCCATTTAAACTACCACATTTCAACATAGTAATGAACGGGAAAAACCCTCCTGCTTCATAATTATAATCATAGTTGCCATAACAACTCAGTATCTCTCTCTCCCAGGGCGTCCATCTTGAGAATATATTTTTAGAAATGGCTATGCCCGAGTATGTGTTTTTCTTTATATAGCAGCTAATGTTTTAAATTACTGATTTTTCAAAAAATTCCAATCTTGCTCTTACTCTGGAAGTGTAGAAGTCTCAGGGATAATTAGGGAAATGAGCAGGTGTGAAAGTCCGGTGTGGAAAATACTCTGAAAGTATTGATGCCTTGACAATATTTGTTTCAACAGAATGTTCCAGGACCTGCATGGTCTCTTGTCAAGCAGCTTAGTATAAATCTCTTCTCTGCGGCTCATAAATATTTGAACAATTATTAGCTGTGTAAGGTGTTTGAGGATTATGTGACAAGTGTAGATTTATGTTGTATAACAGAAATAGGCTTAATACCATCCTAAGCCTAAGGGATAAACAAAAAGACAAACATTGACTTACCTTGCTTAACAGAAAAGCATTTACAGATTCTCAGGGAAAGCTAGCAACACCTTTTTAAGAATGCTGAAAAGCAAGAGGGACCTGAGCTACCATTTTGGTTGCCCCAGTTGTCCACTGGCTGCCTCAGGCTGCAGAGTCTCGTTGTGTAGCTCGGCTAACATCTGTGAAGAGTCCGCACTTACTCAGCTCCACCTGGTCTATGGGCAGATAGACGCTCATAGCTCTTTGTTACTGTCCCAGACTGGAGTTACCTGGGCACATCATTAGGTTGAGAACAAAGAGGCCTCAGAAAGCTGCACATTTCTGCTGATGCCATGCAGACCTCAGCCAAGGTTGGTCACACTTCAAAGAATTACTGGGGGTTTTCTTTCTTGTAGTCTGTTGAGTTCTGTGTAGGCTGTAAAATGATCTGATGTGAAATTATCTGATACTAATCACCAGTATCATGCAGTGCTGGAGCCTGTGATCCACTTAGTTCATGTTACCATGGTTGACCACTGGGGACGGGAGAACACTAAGTTCAAGTGAGTGGATGAACCCAGGATTTCACATGGAGGGCTGGACTATATGTAGGTACTTCAAGTGGAGAACCACACTGAATAACTAGGAGCCCTGAGTACAGGCAGACTGCATGTCAGAAGAGTGGGAAGTGGGGGGACCTGGTGGGCAAGTATTCCAGGAATCTGGCACAGGACCCTGAAAGATTACCTAAGAGTAAGGATCAAAGGAAACAGGAACAAAGGAAAAGATGAGTTAAAGAACAATGTGCCTCTCTGGGAATATGACTCAGTAGTGCAGTACCTGCCCGACATGCATAAGGTTCGATCTCCAGCAAAGGATAATGTGCTGTGGAGGCCACGGGTCTTGCTGATACATTAGCTCTATCAGAGGCTACGGGAGAGGTTGCACAAAGGAAGCTGAAGAAAGCAGTTGCTCTCCCAGGCAGGTAGGAAGAGAGAAGCTTGGAGACCAAAGAAGGAACTTGACTTTGAGGTCTTATCTTCCTAAAGCTTCATAATTTTCTTACACTGCATGGACTCTGACTGCATTCTGTAAGTCTCCCTGTGAGCAGCCATAGGGAGATGTGGTCAATGGTACCTCCAGAAACTGTGCTGCAGGATATAGTCCTGAGAGAATTGGTACCATGCACTCGATTCTTGTTCTGTTTGTTCTCACATCAATTATGTCTCTCCAGAGAAAACAAACAAGCCCACATTAGCAAGGACAGTAGTGATGAGTGGGACTCATTTCCTGACATCAGGGATGTGCTTAGAATCGCAGTTGGATGGGACATTCTCTCGATGCTTCCCAGGCATTGCAGCGCAGGTGTGTGATCTGTTATTTACCTCAGAGGAGCCGAGAAGTAAAAGCTTCCAGAAAGAACTTATGGGTGAGAGGCTACCAAGATTTATAGGAAATGGCTTAACTACTGGATAAAGTAGGGTTTAGTCCTGATCATCATTTGTTTGCTGATTTGAGGGGAAGATTAGTTTCTAGTCCCAGTTCTGTTAGAATTATTGGAGAAGCTTCTTGGACATGTGAGTGCTGGACCCTCTTAGTATGTTTTGTAGGTCTGAGTGGGCCTAATGTCTCTGCATATTTAGAAAGCTCTAGGTCCCTGATAAGGTGATGCAGGGCACGTGCTGCCCTGGGTAGTCTGTATAGAACCTCTTGCCAGGACACCAGGTGAGTCTCTTGCTAGCTTCTTCCAGCTAGCTCAGACCACCAGGAGTGTGGTTTGCTGCTGCTGCCACCACCTCGCTGTTGAACCCTGAAAGTCCAGCACTGAGCTGTCTTGTCTAGAGTGCCTGGCTTCAGAGGAAACAGCCCCTGTGCATGTGCTTGGGGGACAAATCACAGAGGAGGGCTTGCAGGATCCAGTCCAGCCCTGGCAGGCTCAGAAAACTTGTGGAGAAGAAGGGATCCCTGACCCCTCTCAGCCTGGACACCTCTGCTGGCTTTGAGTTCTGCAATGTTCTGGAGGTGAGAAAGCCAGCTCCAAAGAGGAGGGTGCAGATTGTTTAATGTCCCCACCCCTGGAGAGAGAGATGGTTCTGGGTTATTGGAGTGACCCCACCAAATCACATAAGCCCTTAAGGGTGGGGAGCTTTCCTCAGCTAGGAGGAAAGATACGGCAGAAGAGGAAAGTTTAAAGGTGTGGGGCGAATGTGATATGCCATTACTGGCTCTGAGGTGAAGGATCCATGTGCAAAGGCTGGAGACAGATCTGTAGGTGCCCTGGAAAACACCAGAAGGGATGTAGGAAGCCATGGTAGGAAAGCCTGGCCTCAGCAGCCAGCCAGAAAGTGCACTTTGGAAGTAGATTCTCTCCTAGAGCCTCCCTGATGTCCCCAGGCCTGCTCATACCTAGACTTTAGCCTGGAAGAGCTGCATTAGTCCTCTAACCTGCAGGGCGGTGAAGTAATAACATAGGTGATGTTTTCAGCCACTAAATTTGTCTTAATTTGTTACAGGAGCAGTAGGAAAAATATGCAGTGCCTGGTCCCTGAATCTCAGCCTGGAGAGTGGTAGTCATGGAGCTATCACCTCACATCAGAGAAGGCAGCGACAGCTGGCTGCAGGTGGGAAGCACTGGCTCCCAGGAAAGTGATCTGGTAGGCGGCTGCACCAGCCTGCTCCGGAGGAGCCTCCCGGTCTGGAGGGCCCTTGGGATAACTCCATTCTCTCTGCGCCAGAAGCGCAGGCTGAAGTTGGAGAGGGGGCGGGGTCCTCCCAGGCCACTTGGCCCTGCTCCTAGGAAAATCTGTCAAAGGAAACTGGGGACCTCATTCACAGTTCCTGGCAGGGTTGTGTCCCAAGGGAACACCCAGTGTATGTCTGGAGTGGGGCTCAGCTCAGGCTTTATCTGCTTTTGCACCTTGGGCCAGTCTTTTCACCGCTCTGACATGTTTGTCCACCTGTGAAAGAACGAAATTGAAGAGGTGGCCTCGAAGTTTCTGTCCAAGATCAGAACTCCCTGAGTCTCTGCAAAGGAAGGCCAGGCAGGGCAACAGGTTGGCCAGCAGGGAGGGAAGGAGAGAGTTGGAGACGTCTGAAGGTGGATCAGGTTTGACACCTGCCTAGGGGAGCCAGCGGGGCTCTTGGCTGGGTTCCAGAGAAGGAGGAAGGGCGGGCTAGTCCCTTACCCCGCCCTGCGCCTAGGCGCGCCCCTGTCCGCTCAGCGTCCTGCCCAGCCCAGCCCCGCCCGGCGGGACGGTCACAAGCGCCAACCCGCTGCTCCTGCACCCGCTGCAGTGCCCGCGCCCCTGTCCCGTCTCACCGCGCCCTCAGCCTGCCTGGCGCTCCCTGTGACCTGGGCTCTGCCCCGGATGCGGGGCAGAATGGGCATGGCTCGAAGGGGGGACGTCTCGCCCGCCCTGGCCCTGGCGCTCCTGGCCGTGTCCCTGGCTGGGGCCCGAGCCCAAGACGCTGCCCTCGAGGACCCCGACCATTATGTGCAAGAGGTCTGGAGCAGGGAGCCCTACGAGCGCACCGAGCCAGAGCTCCAGCCCTTCTCGCCACAGCTGCCCGAGGGGACTGAGGAGAAGGAGCCAGAGCCGCGCCCGCGGGACCCCGTGACGCCCAAGCGGGTGACTAAGCCCAAGAAAGTGCCCAAGAGGGAGAAGTCAGCCGCAGCGGCTCCTCCATCAGGTAACTTTCTGCGCCGGGTGGCCGGAGGGGGCGCCCGTGGTCGCGCGCCTGGAGGGGCCAGCTGCCTTCCGTCAGGGATGCGTGGGCCGACAGCTTCCCAGGTGCCCGCAACCTCCCTCCCGGGAGACTGAAGCTGCGCTTCCCGCGGGGCCTCCGCATTCCCGGAACTTTGCTACTCGAATTCTCTGTGTCGGGAGGAGAGCTCTGCCTTTAGGAGGCTGGGCCCCTCCAACATTTCCTGGGTGAAGTGCCTCCCTGTTGGCGTTTCTGCCTGCGCTGCCCACCTCTTCAGTCTATAAAGGCAGTCCGTCTCTTGATGAATTTCCCCCTCAGCCACGTGGCTGGCCCCGCCTGTTCTGGCCAACAGCCCTTTTGGGAAACCCCACTCGTGGGCCTTTACCCTGCGGGGTCACCTCTCAGGCCCCTCTCTTCTGCTGTCAGTCCCTCAAATCCTCTGCAGCTGAATAGCACAGCCACAGCTGGGTTCCCTATGTAGGTACCCCCGTGGTGGCTGCTGCTGCTGTGACTGTACAGGGCTGCTGTCTCCGGAGGCCCAGAGGGCTCTGCAGAGCCTGACAGAGAGCCCGGATGCTCCGCGTTCTACCTGTCCCGCACCCACTTCTCAAATCCATCCTCAGTTTCTGCCAGCTTTGTCTTTGAGGAAATGACTTCCGCTTAATTTACTACATACCTTCTAGAGTGGGGCTTTCGTCGTTCCAAATGGTCCTTATTAAGCTACAAGGTCTGCAGTCTCACTATTACAGCAGTGGAGACTGAGCAGGATTGTGGCCAGATACTCCTGCCTCCAAGGCCTTCAATAAAAGGCAACACGGACTGTGTTACAGGGCTCCAGAGACAGAAGAAGTGGCCTTTGTTTGGTTAAATAGCCCTTCAAAGTCAACAGTGAGGTGCCTGGAAAATTTGGAACACTCTTGAAAGAGTAGCCCCCTCTGAGACCTCTATGTACAAGTATGAGGATTTGCTGTGTTTCTAACAGAACCAATGTTTTTTTGTGGGGAAGGGTTAGGAGAATAAGGTGGCTGGATTAACAAGAATTGGAGCAGGAGAGGACACTTATTTGCATTTGTGGACTGTTGGCTATGACTCTTTTGGTAGCTCTGTGTGCACCTGTGTCATTTACAAAATTCTTTCCTTGGCTCTGGAGAGTGGGTATTGCTGTTTTACTGGTGAAAAACCTGAATCTAAGACTGGTGAGGTAGCTGGCTTAGAATAACTTCTCTCTTGCAAGATTGAAAGTCCTCTTGTGCTTGCTCTAGTTTGGTAGTTTGAATCAGATCCATATGTTATTTTAAAAAATCTACTGTGTGTTTAGTATTGGAGGGGGGTACATGATGCATTTCACTGAGACCAGGGTAGGGAGGAAGCAGTCAGGCCTCGGGTTTGCCCACTCAGCGATCTGGGGTTTGGCTGTGTTCCCTGAGTCTCAGCATCTTCACTTGCAGGAGAATGGCATTAGCCACTGCACTAGACTTTGCACTAATATGAAAGCTTTTCAGTAGCAGATTCTAGTGTAGCCCAAGCTTATAGTTGTGCTTGTCTCCCTGAGACAGCGTCATTCCTTCTACAGATGGTTACCAAGAGCCTGCTCAGTACCAGGTACTGGGATATAGAGCACAGGACAGCCTAGGGTCTGCTCTGTGGACCTCAGAGAACTTGGGGGACTTGGAGGAAATAAAGGTGGGCGTGCTGGAGTTTGTACAGAAGTGTGGGGTGTCAAGGAGATAAATACAGGGTCTTGGGCAATGCTTCCCAGGAGAAGTGACGTTTAAGACATGACCAGTGTGCCAGCTTTGTTATTTGAGGACTCTTATTGGTGACTAGCCATCATTCCTGAGACTGCTTCCTTTACCCACAGAAGACAGTGTCTGTGGATTCAGACATTACAGTGGAGGAGGTAGCTTTCTGTCCTTTGGGTAACAGCATTTGTCAGCTTTGGAATGAGTTTTGTTTTGTTTTTTTGAGACATGGTCTTGCATTATAGTGTGGGCTGGACTTGAACTCACTTATATAACCCAGGCTAGCCTCAAACTCATGGCAATTCTCCTGTCTCAGCCTCCCAAGTGCTGGGATTACAGGAGTGAGCCACTACACCCACCTTGAAATTAGACCTCTGAAGGAGAGAACAGGGTTCAACTAGATTTGCAAGAAGGTCATTTGCTTTTGGAAAACTATCTCATAGGTGAAGATTTGCTTAGGGCAGGAAACTATTCCTCTGGATCAATAGTCTCTGCTCCTACAGGAAATGAGCTTCTGGGATCCACCTGGATCCCATCCTCAAACCTAAAACAGATCTTAGGAAATTCCAGGGATTCCTTGGAGGCCTGTGTTGGGATTGCGCTCCAAGCTTGCTGTTGTTTTCAGTCTTCTGATAAATTGTGTGGGGCTTTATAGAGCTCCACTCAGTGTGAGTGAGCTGAGTGTTGCATGTATCGACCTTTCTATCTAGTGCTGTGTGCTGTGTGCTGTGTGCTGTGTGCTCTGTGTGTGTGTGTGTGTGTGTGTGTGTGTGTGTGTGTATAGAACCTTCCATCCTGGATCCCAAGTAGTGAAAGGCACTGGACTTGATTAAGAAGTCATAGTTTTGTGCAGTTCTCACAGTAGGAGAACTTGTTCCCCACTTTTTTTTTTTTTTTTTTTTGTATTTTAGGGAAGGGTCTACAGAGTGTTCAGGGTCTCACTACTAGATCGGACTTGTAGTGATCCACCTGTTTACAGCCTCCCAAGAGCTGGGATTACTAGAGTGAGCCACCACGCCCAGTCTCAATTGCTGTCTCAGTGTGTCCCAGGGGCGGGGTCAGCAGGGCATTGTTCCCCACTTTTAATGTTGCTTTGATACTTATTCTTCTCATGATGTGGCGATGGGGGCATCATGTCCACACTTGGACAGGTTTGTTAAAAGGTTGTGTTTTATCTCAGGAAGGTGCCCACAGAGGAGGCAACACAGAGCTGCAGTCCGGGGTGTTAGATGCAATGTCTGAAACTTGCTTCCCTGGGTGAGTGTTGCAAGCTAGGTATGAGGCTCTGAGGTGGGAATGAGGGGTTCTACTGAGCAATGAGTGAGAGCTCTAGGGGCACATGCAGCTGACCTAAGAGCCTACTTTGTACTTCACTTTTCCAGATAATGGAGTAGTTTCCAGATAGCCTGTCAGCACAAAGATTGGGCTCAAGGGAAGGTAAGCTAGAGGCTGTATGTAGCCCGCTCTAGGCGGGAGTTTGCTGTGTCAGGAGCCAAAGGCTTTGGGAAAGTGGTCTTGGTGTGAGTTTTAGCTTTAGCTCTTGACCACTACAAAAATGCCCTATGGATGTCATGTGCTGATATCGGTGAAGGTCACTGGAGCTTCCCTAATGTGAAAATCTGAAACCTGAAATGCTCCAAACCTGAAATGTTCTCAGTGCCAAGATGACATTGTCTGTGGGAATCTCCATACCATGACATTTTATTTCATGTATAAAAATATTGATAATATTATATGAAATTACCTTCAGGCTACATGCTTGAGATATATATGAACTACACATGAATTTCATGTTTAAACTTGAATCCTACCCTCAAGATATCTCATTATGTGTATGTAAATATTCCAAAGCTTGAAAACTTTTGAAATCTGAAATATTTCTAGCATCAAGCAGTTTGGGCAAGGTCTACTCACACTGAACCATATTTTCCATGAGAAGTTGACAAATTTGGGGATAGAGCCCTGATACATTGCATGGAATGAATCTTTAAAAACATTTATGTTTTTAATTAAATTAATTACAGACTCACAGGAAATTGCAAAATGAGTCCAGTGTGTGCTCATGTACCTTCCCCCCAGCTTCTGCCAATGATAAATCTTCAAGAATAGTAAAGGTGACCTTGGCAGTATTTGACCAGTTGCATGGAAGTGTGAGAAGGGATGGTGTCCTGTGCACTGTGGCATACTGTTCCTCCAGCCTTGGCCTGCCAGGTGCCAGTCGCATCTTCTCTTCAGTTGTCACAACCAAGGATGTCACTAGCACTGCCAGATCTCTTCAGGCAACTGAGAATCATTGCTGTATATATGGTGGAAACCAGGAAATTGGCATTTGTAAATACTATGAATTGAATGACAGTGCTACATTTCATTATCTCTGTGTGTGTGTGTGTGTCCCCACATCAAGACATAGGACTTTTCTTCGAGGTTGCAGTAGAACTTTGGTTTGATAGAATTTCTGAGGTTCTCTTGTGAGCCTCAGTTTATTCTAGAGGTTCAGATCTTGAAGGAACCTAAGTGGTGGTCCCTAAGTGGGTGTAGACTCCTATCCATGGCAGGGCTCCACCAGTGGGCTCTGTAGTTTTTGCTTATACCTTTCCACAGATGAGCTCTCTTAAGGCTGCCCGTTCACTGGATGAACATGACTGACCACTAGAATGTTCTTCCCCACATAGATTTGACAACCGGCTTCTAATTCTATTTATTTAGCTGTTTCTAGCTGAAATACAGTTTCCAGATTCTTGAAGTTAGAAAACTTCAAGTCTAGGGAGTAAACCTTATGTCCACAGTTTTCCTTATACCTGGGTGAAGAATAAGATCAGGGGCCCCACGATGGGCATACCAGTGGATTTGGGTGTGCTTACTTTTTGTAAGATTTCCAAATTGATGACTTAGTCTGGGGCTGGACCCTTTTTAGCGAATCAAATGGAATAGAGTAATAAGCCACAGTTGTATAACTCATCTACTTTTCACCTTTCACTTGGCAATAAGAAGCAAACCACATAGTAAGAATTGATTTGAAGATTGTTAAACAAGCTCCAGTGTGTACCCTTTAAATTTGGATTTCTGCTTGTCCTTCCATGGGACATTTCTTCAAGAACTATGAGAATGCAGGGTTTGAATACAGGCAGACTGTATCGAGTCCACAGTCCCAAGGCTGTGGAATTTGCTGAGTGGGCAATAGGCCATATATGTCCGTATGTCTGTGCCCAGAATCTCCAGATTGCATTTCATACGGTGGTGTGC